TTTCTGTCGTTATTTCACGGCATGCAAGTGCTCTTTTCCTCGGGAAGCTGTCGTGCTGAGAGACGGCCACAGAGATGTAGCTTCGGTACGTGTGCACTTTGCTTGTTCTCCTCGGCTTCATGTGGATTCCTCTCATGAAGGCTGGAACTTCTTTACACTTTGAAATCATGCGTCATTGTGAATGTATGTGTGCAGCAGACCTCGGACCAGCTACCGCTGCTGGTAATGGGCGTCTTCACGAATAAAGTAGAGCTCATGCTAGCCTTTTCACATCTAAGCAGGCTGGGAGCACAGAGAGCACACCTGACATTGATTGTTGAAATTAATTATCACTCACCGGAAGGACGCGTAGAGAAGACGTATAAAAAGCAACAGAGGAACAGATTTATGTCTGCTTTTGTTCATTTGGGGCATTTTATTTTACATCCTCTTGTCATTGCTCCAGTTTTGATCAGTTCTTTGTCACACAGTATATATTGAGCCTCGGCTAACAGTGAGGGTCCTGTTCTCGCTCCGTGACGTTCTGTCTTAAATGTCAGTAATGATCTATCGGAATAAGTGCAACTCACTGAAGTGAGCATCTAAAAAATAAAATAATAATAATAGCTCTGTGTTAATATTTTTAGACCCAACAGAGAACAAACAAGTTATTCACATGGGAGGTAAAAGTTCTGTGTTTTAAATAACATGAAGACTTCTGATCTTTTTTTAGGGGCTATAAAAAATGATGTCAAAAGTCCACTTCACGTCGTTGGCAGCTGTATTATTAATATTTATATGTCGGGTCCTCTAACATGACTACTGGCGCTGCTAAATACATTTTGTTTTCGTCTGTTAAAGCTTATTGTGCAGTTGGCCTACACTCAATTCTGGGAGATTTAGGATAACAATATGAAAATGTTCTTGCATTAGGCCCATGTTATTGCGTTACATTCTATGCATTTTAACAGCTACATCTTGTGGCGAGGTACCCTGTATTCCCGGGTCCATTTAGTTGTATTCCTGTGGATAACTGCTCGAATGTTGAAAACATCTCTCCAGTGAAGAGAAGAAAGTTTGATGCACACCAGGAATGCTTTCTAAAATGTCAACAGTAAACAAAGAGTGCAGACTGCTCCTCAGACTCAACACGGTGAGCGCTTCTTCCTAGACCTCCTTTTTTCTGCAGTGATGTTCCGCATCACAGAGTGAGGAATCCATCATGGAGAGATGGAGACAACTCTCCGCACCTACATTAGTCTCAATGGACACAAGTGCAAAGCAGCTGATTTCTCCCCTCAAAAGTTATCAGAAGTGAATTTAATGATCAAATAGCATACGGACTGTCCCCCCTCGAGGCTTATGATCTGTAAAACTGTTAATTTACCAATCAGAGGCTTTAAATAGATTTATTTACTTCGCTGCAGCAAGTTACATGACAGTATTTATAGATAAATAAATACAATTATAAATAGATCAATAAATGCACAAATAGACTTAACATTTATTGTCATTTAATTTGTGATTTGTTCATTTGTGGTGGCAATTAAGCATTAAATTACATATTTATTTATTTATTTATTTGAGCGTTTAATTAGCTTTGTATTTACATGTTTAATTTTAGCCCCTTAAAAACCCCTCCCTACGGAGCTGAGTGCAGTGAGTTTGCAGCTGAGGTAGCTGTGAAAAGTCGGGATACCAAAGAATTAAATTACAGCACTTCACTACTAAAAAAAACCTCCGTCCTTTATATCACAAATTGCTGACACTTCGGTTACCAAAGGTGGATTTTCCTTCTTGTATTGACTCATTGGGGTTATATTTTCATCAAACGTATTATAATGCTTTCTCAGATATTCTCATAAGCCATTTAAATACAGACAATAAGACCGTGTCCATCACAGTCGAGCTTTCAACGACAGCCAAAACCCATCAACCCTTTTTCCGCGAGGTCCCTCTCAAGCATGATTAGAGGCCCCGGCCCCCGTTTGACGACGCCTTTTATTGGAGGAATCAAAGCGCCACTGCTCAAATATTCAAAGATGCTGAATTTGGATGTTGCCAAGATTTTAGTCTGAGATAATGAAAGACTACTTGTGATAAGTCCGGGAAGGAGAGAGCTGTTCGCCGTGTGTACGCCAATGAGATGGTGTAAAGTGGATTAAGCTCGCTATGCTAATACCGCCGTCACTTGTGTGGCGCCATTTGATGTCTGACACACTGCAGACACCACGGGACTGATTCTATCGCCACATGTGTGCTTATGCAGCTCCGAATGTGTATTCAGAGCCAAGAGACGACATATAGCACATATAGATATCTGAACCCATTATAGCGTGCGCTTTGAAGCAGGCTGTACTGTATGTTCATTAAGGATTATGTAGAGATATTATTATTATTATTATTATTATGTTTTTACAGTGACGGAAGGGTTGAGGCAAGCATGTAGGTGTGGATGTGTGGAAATTCGGCTCTCCAATGTTTTTTTTTAGGAGATTATGAAGGTGATGGATATGTCAGTGCTTATTTTTCACTCTAACACTTTTGACAAGGCCGGACAAAAGTTGTGAATAATAACATATCGATCTAGATGATATATGAAAAACAAAAAAAATCTACCTGTCGATGCCAATCTCGCTTGGTGAGTTGTTTTTCCTACATTTTTGGTCATCTATCAAAATCTGAAAATTGTCATACAGAGAACTTAAAAATAAAGTCAGAGACTCTTTGGTTCGTCTTGAATACGGGATTCATTGTGACCCAGATTAGTCAGCCGTACACTAAGCTGTAAGAAGGTGTAACGTCCGCGCACACACACACACACACACACACACACAGTCCTTCCCTTAACTTGCAAAAAAGAAGTTGGTAAAAACTTAGATGTGCTTCTGTGGGTCAGACACAAAGTGCTGAGCTGACAAGTGTCCCATCCATTAGCAGCCTTGTCTGCTCCCATCTCGTCAGCCACCACTGTCGTTTACCGCATTCTGGTCCGTCTTTCAGGGCAGCTGCTGCTCTTCATGCAAACAAGTGACTGTATATCAGAGGGTTTCAAAGTCTGTGGGCAATTAATTCAGCTTTACATCAGAGAGCTTCCTAGTTTTCATACCACGTTATATGATTAGAAACACCTCCCACTCACTGCGCAGATATCCATTTAAATGACGGTACGTGCCCTTCCTCAGATCATTCTATTCAACTATACCGTGAAGAGTTATTTTCACATATCTTTTTATAACATTAACGACGTCTAGACGTGTCTGTCAGCGAGACATTTAGGACGGCTAACAAAGCCTCAGCTGTCGGTCTCCTCTGCTCTTAATGGCTGTCCAAAATGTCACACTTCTCTGTGTTTGCCGTGTAACCTAGACTGCACAGTAGCGTGCATGCTGACAAAAGAGCACTCGGTAAAAGAACGGTTGCAATTAAAACTAAAAAAAAACTAAAACCTGTCATTATCCACTTGCACCAATGTCTGTTCAAAGTGTCTTAGAGGTTGACATGGACACTAAATGTGGTTTGTCCCTGATAGTATGTTTGTGCTGTTAAAAGACATTAAATGTCTTTTAAGAAGGGTAATTCCTTAAAGCCAAACATTGAGCCCCAAATGCCTTATTTATCATATTAATCATGATATGAAGCAGGGCTGGGCAACATTTCGGGATATGAGACTCGATATCGTCTTAGATTTTGGATATCGTAACATGGCAAAGGTTTTGTCTTGTCAGTGTTTCACTTTTCGTGAAACTCTCTGAACTTACCTTTTTTTCTAGCTGTTCTATCATTTGCCTTCACTCACTTAGTCTTTACTGTATATACACATTACTGGTGATTATTTATAAAAAAAATGTGTAAGTATTTTGTGAAAGCACCAATAGTCAACCCTCCAATATCGTCACAATATCAAGGTGTTTAGCCAGAAGAACCGTGATATTTGCTTTGGTCCGTATCATATTGTCCCCAAGAATTCATGGTCCCAAGAGGATACATCCTAAGAACTTGTGTGATCCTCTGATGTTTCCTCTAATGCCACTAGTGGCTCTGAGATTTCATTGATCCAGTGAAATATCTCGTCATTAAATGTTTGCACAGATGTGATACTTGTCTAAATGTGGGAACAACAACACTTATTTTCAGACATTCTCTCCCGGTAGCCAATTATAGTGTTGTGTTGTATTTGAAGCGTTAGAGAGAGAGAGAGAGAAGTTCAAACCTTTTGCCTACTTTCAGCAGTTGCGTTTGACTAACAAGTTCTCTGAGACCTCTAAAAGGCTGCACCACATCCACTCTTGTGTCTTGACTTTTAGCATGAAACGTCTTGCTGATGATGACGGAGCAGGAGGAAGGGAACCTGCAGTTCAACATTATGGCGCAGACGTTCTCGGCTTTTGATTACGTAATTTTTTGATTTTCCTGGTGGGGGGGGTGATGAAGGAGCTTCGTCAATTTTTAAATCAATTTCTGTTTGTGTGCACCTGAATCTAGTCCGTATGTTTTGTTGTTGGGCACTTTTTGAATTGAATTCTCAAAAGCCTGTCTCTGTGTTCTGTGTTTCTGCTGTGAAAATGGGACCCATCTCTCGCTCTCTTCCTTGTAATAGGCTCATCTCTCCTTCTCCGTCTGCTCTCTCTATCTTTCGCGAGTCTGAATAAAGCAGCTAATGGTGCATGGAAATGGTGGCACCACAGTCGCGCCTATAGACAGACTTTTTTTCCCCTCTGTTGTGTGTTGCAGCATTTAAGTGAAAATACACATTTACAAGGATGAGAGGACGTCATTCTTTCACCCATCTCATTCATTCATTGTAAAGCACAGTAAGAGCTCTACAGCGTGCTGTTGGTGTTTTCTTTCTTTTTTTATCCTTTTGAATATTTGATAAATGAGTTCTGGTTTCGTTAGCTTCTCAAAGGGGGTTTCAGTTTGTCTCTATAGTGTTGCATTTTTATTAATGATTTGAGGACATGCTGCTGCTGATGTTGAATATGATGATGATGATGGTGTTGTGTCTTCCCTGTCCCCAGGTCTACATCCGGATCCTGGACAACGAGTGGAACGTGTACAGGCGCTACACCGAGTTCAGGGAGCTCCACAACCACCTGAGGACCCAGTTTCCACAGGTGGACACCTTCAACTTCCCACCCAAGAAAGCCATAGGGAACAAGGTGAGCATGGCCTGTTTGTGTGTGACCGACTGTGGACCTTTCTCTGTGACTGTGTCCAACACTTCTGTGGAGCAGTATTACATAAAGACCTCCTTGATAATTATGCACAAAATCTGTAAAACATTAAACATAATGGGTCCTTGATTTTTTTTTAAGCAGAACTATAATTTCTAGTCATCAATCATCGATTTTGTTTGCAGATTGTATTAGCTTTAGCTAGCTAGCTAATTAAGCTAATGTTAGTTGCAGGAGTTGGTGGTCTTATTAATGTTTACAGCTTCCTCGTTTTAAAATGAGAATCTTGATAAATGGGTCTTAATTACGCTCTGGATGGCTACATCAATTAGTTTGTCGAGTCTCGGGCAAGGTTCCCTCGTCTCAGTGGTTTTGGTTAGATGACTGAAATAAGGTCTGTGGTTAACACGAGAGATTGTAACGTTTTGTTCAAAGACATAAAAAAATAGGTCAGTAAATACCCCACTCGTGGCTTTTGAAGCTTCTACATGTCTTTTAAAAAGTGGCTCAATGTGACGTCAGACGTTGTCGGGGTTGTTGCACAAAATAAAATAGAGAATAATGATGCAAAACAGTAATAATACAGTGGTAAGCTAGTTAGCCGGACATGCTAACATTTCAGCTAATGTTGAGCGACGACTTAAAACTTTAGATTTTTTAGTTTTAGATTGGCTTAAAAAACAAAAACACCATCCTCTAAACTCTTTATATGCAGAGTGTAGCTCTTACCACAGCCCCCATGTGGACAAAGCCAAAGCTCTGCAGACTCGCTGTGCCGAGTCATTTTCGCTAAGCTCTCCCTTCAGAGGGACTGAATGGTTGTTTCAACCCTTTTCATATAAAAGACACGATCCCACATGACTTTGACCAGTTATCAAAAATAATTCATGTCGGCCTGTAAAGATGGAGTTAACCAGCACCATTTCGCTGCCAGCACTTATTCACTTATGCTCTTTCGTGATCTTTTTTCCTGACACACACACACACACACACACACACCTAACCTCCCTCTTCATCTACAGGGAACAAACACTGCTCCAGGTCTCCATGGCTCACTTACCTGTCTAGTTACTAGGAGATCTCTCTATCTATCGCTCCCCCTCACCCCTCTCCTCTCCTCCCTCCTATTCCATCCTGTTCTCCTCCGTCTCCCTCCAACATTTGGGAGATAATTTGGTTCTGACCCCAATTCTCTGGCTGGTCGGATTTGACGCCGGTCTGACTCCCCCACCTTCAAAGACACTGCGCTTTCACAGCTAGAAAAGGGACTGAACGCCAATGTGCAGGTGCTGCAGTTGTGAGAGGAGGTTGAGTGTCTGTGTCTGTCTGTGTGTGTGTTGTGGGTCTGCAGGACCGTGTGGGATCATGTGGAAGTCCAAGTGTCTATCAAAGGCCTCTGTGTCATTGCGTGCTGGAAAGCTCTCTGAAAGCCCATTACGCTGCAGGTTTGTGTGAATTATTGGCTTTCAACATCTCCAGGAAGTCGTCCGTCACCGTACAGAAAGCAGCCCCCGGTTTTGTTGCTCTCTGACTGCATTTTAAAGCAGGAGCACTGCTGGAAAAGACCTACACACACACACCATGAACACTCACTTTACGCTTTCCTGTCAAGTATCAAGAGTAGCTTAATACCAGACTCTTTTCTCCTGACCTCGCTGCACTCATGTGGAGGTGTACTCAGGGTGTGATGCTGCTGTTGTGTGTGTGTGTTGAAACTTTCAACCAGAAGGGTTCAGTTTATGATTTTCAGGGTTTATGTCGTTACGGTGGAAATTCAATCATTCTTCATAACAGGCGTAAATAATAGATGTTGTCAAACACCTTTCTTCTTCTGTTGTCTTGATTTATATTTCAGTTGCATTCACTCAGTGTTTTCTTCTCATAATACATAACACATTAGCAGTTCTCTATATATTTTCATCTCATTTTCTTTTTTTTTTTACCCAAATTACATTTTCCTTTGTTTGCCATCATGTATCTTTTTGTTTTGAGTGGATCCATTTATAAGCCTCTTGAGGTCTCTTCCTCCCCCACTCTCTCCATTAACAGTTTCTATTACTTTACAAATATACTGTCCCCGCAGTGATGATGTTCAAGTCACGTTTGCACTGTGGAGACCAGCTTCTCTGTTGATTTGTCTTCCAGGTCGATACTAAAGCCTAAAATATACAGCCGTATATAGACAGAAGCTAAAATCTCTCCCCGTCTTGTTTAACTTCTTTAACCATTCAGACCATTTGACAGAAGCGTTTTTGCGAGGCAGGTCTTACAAATGTTGCATCTCACAAAAGGGTTGTTGCTCAAAAATTTCCAGGGCTCTTGCATGCTCATGCTTTGGTCACAAGTATGGTATTTGTTATGATTGGTTTAACGTGTGAAAATGAGCAAGAGGAAATGATCTCGTGTTGCAAATAGCAGCTTGCATTCCGCAAATCTGGTCAAACTAAGCTCAATATCTGTGTCCTTGAACATGCCTTATACTTCTAGTGTTGGAAAAGTTGTCTCATAAGCTCGACTTTGTATGCACTGTATGTGATGTCTTCTAAGTCAGAACCCTTTTGGATCTTATGTGCATGGCAAAAAAACTCCACTCTGACTCTCATCTGAGAGTCTTAATCCAGCTGTTTTTCAGTCGCAGACCTCCGTTAATAACCTGAAAGTATTGGGCTATGAAAAAATTCTAAATATCTCAAAAATTGCATTTGATTGAGATAAGCTGCACAAACGGTTTTCAAATTAGAACATTTGTCATGGACACTATCAGTACTGCCTTGACAAAAATGAAAACATCTTTGCTCCACTCACACACTCACACACATATGCTATACGTAGTAACCGTCTCAAGATCAACATTTTGAAGATTAATTAAACATCAGCCATGCACGCTACAGCTTTGCAACTTTCAACAAAGTATAGACGAGGTTGACGAGTTTCAAACACCACAAACTAGTGGATTTTATCAGTGGTGGGCCGTGGGTTTTATACCTGGGCCTTCAGTGCTGTCCTGCAGCTGAAACACCACCTAATAACCTCATGATGGCGCCACAGCTACGGTTATTTGTTTCTATTGGTGTAATAATACACGTATTCGTATTAAACCGTTTGGTACGAGGCTTACGAACCAAACAATACGTTTGAATAATACTAGTGCATTTGGAAAATTCAGAAGCTTAAATTGTGGGAAATATAATGTTTTCGGTGGACTGCGCTCACGTAGGAGACAACAGGCTTTGACCTCTGAACCCGGAACAAAAAAAACAAAACAAAAACCAGCTGAGGCACCGCACTTCTGGGAGGCTACGCTAAACTAGCTTAACAAACAATAACTCCGTGCATGATGGTATGCTTCGTAATTAACGGACAATGCATACAGTCCAAATCTATATGATTAACACAATGACAACAACAAACTCACAAGAACCAGTCACATATATTCATATGACAGCAAAGCAACAAATCAATCCAGCAGACCTGCAGCAACATGCATTCTGCTACACACTCGAGGGCCATTCAGATATTAGATGTAAAAAAAAACAAACGCAGTTGACTTAAAGACAAACTCAATCCTCCTTTCTTTGTTGACAAAGAGTTTAATCCCATGGTTAAATCCCAACTCACGAATCCGTTTCTCCTCCTTCAGCCATTGAGTGATTAAAAAAACAAAGCTAGGTAAAAAAAATAAACATCTACACCAAGCAAAACGCAAAAAATGTAATAATTTCTTCCATATCTTTCAATTTCAACTCTTACTACTCCGACTAAGCCTCTGCTTAAGTTTCGTTTTCCAATAGTCACATGCTCGCCCACTGACCAATCACAGCACACGCTGCACCTCACTGCAGTGCTGTACCTTAAAACTGAGCTGCCCGTTAATGCTGACGTACTTGTAGGCCGGCTAGCAGGTGCTGACGCGTCAAAGAATACGCCCAACATGTCAAACTAAAGATCTGATTGGTTGAAGACTATGACAATCAACAATATCGTCCCCATTCACTTAAACTGCACATGGATGCACTTGTGAGTCTGCAGGCCTGGGTCTCTGTTCTTACCTAGAGACACAGAGGTGAGATCTGATTGGATGAAAGCTCTACTTAAAACAAGCTGCACTGGAAGCAGAGCAACTGAGGAACACAGTAGCTGTGCAATGAGAAAATAAGATTATGGGAAAAATATTTTTATAAATTATAATACATGTAGTGTATTTAAGAAAAATTATAAAATAGCTATAACTTTGTGATTCTGTTTAGGCCAGCAGAGAAGGCCTTGCAGGCCCTGACGGCCCACCACTGGATGTTATGAAGACCTTCAAGCTGTGAAATGAAATAAATGTAATAATTTCTTTAAATTTCTCAAATGTGAGCTGCTGTAGCAGCAGAAGTTTTGAAGGAAACAGGGCTCAAGGCCTTAGGGACCAGACTGAAATGAAATGAGGGAGCAGGTGGACGGCTTTTTTGCTCAAAGATTTGATAAATAACAGATCGGTGAAGTATGCGCGAGTGTGTGTGTGTGTGTGTGTGTGTGCCTGCAAAACAGGAATTTCTCTGTGAAAGCTGAAGCTGCACGGCATAAAAGACAGTTATTATGTGTGTTTCAGAGAGAATGTATTGGCTGGTGTGCATGAGGTGTGTGTGTGTGTTCACAACTATGTCTCTATACCCCAGAAGTGAGCCTGTGCAGCATGGAGTGCGTACTTTGTATATTCAGGCGTGTTTGTTTTGCGTGTGGTGTTGTTGGTAATCAGCAGGCCTGCCGTGTTGAGCTTCCCTGTTATTTCAAACCAGTCGGTGTTTGTTTCTGGCTCTCTAGGAGCACTTTGGAGTGTCGGCGGTGGAAACAGCCTTCTTAAGGTGAGGAGGGGAGCAGTGCTGCTGCAGGAATGAAGCGTGCCAAGATTATTTTACTCCCACAGTAATGCTGATGTTTTGAGTCGGCTTGTTTTACTTGTTTCAAATAATAGTGCTGGAAATTCAGTTTTCAGCAATCTC